CGGGCCTCCTCCTCCCTCGAGCGCGTGGCGCAGCTCCATCCCCACGGCCGCCCCACAGGCCCCCCTCAGCAGCTCCAGCATGGGCAAACATTGCGAGTTCCCACAGCATCCCCAACCTCTCTCTGGGATGCTTTCAGGACCTCGGGCTGCTGCACAACAGCAGCCAGATGGGCTCCTTCCAGACAGACAGACAGACAGACAGACAGCCTTCCTGGCCCCGCTGCCCTGCCTTCAGCAGGTCCTCCAGCAGGGACCCCATGGCTGGAGAGCATCCCCCATCCACTTGATGGCTGGCAGAGGACCCCCAACTTCCCCGCCAGTAATGGTAGCCATGGTGGCCCACAACGTCCTCCACTGCTGCTAGGATGTGGTCAAAGGCCTTGAGAGAGGAGAAGAGGGTGAGAGCAGTGGCAAGGCTGCAGGTGCCAGGGGTTGGGTGTGCTGAGCCTGTGCATCGCCCTTGCCCAGTCTCCACCTACGTGCTCGTGCAGCTCCTCGTTCAGGGTGGGCTTGTGGTGGTCGCTGCGCTTCACCTTCAGCCACGTCACCAGGGGTTTGATGGTGAGGCCCTGGAATGGCAGGAGAAGGCAAGGGAAAGACTGGGAGGGCGAGAGGGTGCGTGGCTGGGGCACAGGGAGCAGAAGCAGCATGACATGACCGGGGACAGCAGATGTCAAACCCGACGCCCTGTGCCCAGGAGCCGGGCAATGGTCCCGTGTCCCAGGCGAGCAGCAATCATGTGGTACCACCCCCTCACCCCAGCCCCCCTTTCTCCTTGCATCCATCCGCCATGCATTTCCCCTTCCCGGGGCACAGGAATCCCAGAGCCAGGAGCCACCAGTAGCTTTGTAAAGGAAACAGCCTGGCCAGGCACGCACCGCTGCTGCTCCTGGAGTCAGTCCCAGAACCAGAAGCCAGCAGGGAAACAACATGGGCCACTGCCCCACCATCGCAACGGCCACCGCAACAGTCCTACGCATCAGCCTGGTCGTGGATGGGATGCCAGGAGGTACTGAGCTCCAAAGACCACTTGAAAAACAGTACTTGCCCCAACAACATGTCCCCAGGTGCCTGCCTGGACCCTCAAGCCAGCTCTGGGACAAGAAGGCAGCGCTGGAGGAGGGCACAGTGCCCGTCCTCACCTGCACAATGACAGTGAAGAACACCACCACGATGGTCGTTGCCACGAAGTAGTCCTTGGCTTTCACCTTTTCCCTGTCCAGCAGGATGACCAGGGCGAAGGCCACGGCTCCGCGGAGGCCACCGTACGACATGACCACCTGGTCGATCCTGTCCAGGGGGATGAGGCGGAAGCGGTTGAGCACACAGGTCTGGAGGACAACGCCTAGGGAAGAAGGAGAAGGAGAGCCTGGGATGCTGGCAGAGCCCTGCCTGCTCCTGGAGATGGGGCAAAATCCCAGCCAGGAGCCGAGGCTGGTCTCATGGCCCAGCCCTTCTTGGGGGCTACCACTTTTTGGCATGAATGGGGCTGGGTGCTAAGAGCCAGAAGACTGACCCACAGCTCTGAAGAGCAGGATAAAGAACAAGGTGCCCAGCACCAGTGCTGTGTCCCATGCCCACTTGGAGGTGTCCACAGCCGAGATGCCCAGAAACATGAAGATGATGGTCTCTGAGCTGCTGGCCAGTGTCTTCATGGTGTACTTGACCGTGGTGCGGGATTTCTGGGAGATGTTGGCTTCCACGTACTTCTTGCAGCAGATCCCACAGAAGGTGACTCTGCAGAGGGGCAGAAGGAGCTGGCATGACCCTATGGCGGGATGAAGAGTGGGTCTGCTCAACGCCTCTTGCTGCTCAGCACCCGCACCCCTGATTTCCTGGAAATTTCCCCCCCCACACCTCAGGGGACACCCTGGGACACTCACGCCAGGATGGAGGAGAGCGAGACCATCTCGGCAGCAAGGTACGCCACGTAGGCCAGGAGGAAGACAAAAAGTGGCTCGATGATGCGCACGCGCTTGGTGAAACGCGTGATCAGGGCCAGGAGGAAGGCAAAGAGCAGCCCCACGGCCGCGCCCCCGAGGCTCACCACGAAGAAGGAGGCTGGTGGAGAGGAGAAGACTCATTCGCAGCAGAAGCAAGCAAACCCAGCTCCTGTGCCAAGCCCTGTGCTCCCACCCAGGTCACCACCAAAGCATCCCATGATGACAGCCAGCACGTGACCACTGGGTTGGAGATGACAGAGCTGTAGTGCTCAGTGCCCACCCTATGCTACGACAGCACCCGTGCTTGTCCCCCTGCACCTTTCCACACCAGAGGAAGAGATGGAGAGGCTGGTGGGACACGTACTCACCTACCCCCTTCAAGTAGTCCGTGGCGTGGATGTGCGCTGGGCCCAGCTCCACAAAAGAGTTGAAGACCTTGTACAGCACCTGCAGGCAAAGCAAATCCCTTGAGGAGGGGGTTCTGCCTTGAGAGGGCAAGGATGGAGCCCACAGAAGAGGCATCACCTGCCCCAGATCTGCCAGGCAACACAGCTTGTCTTGGCTGGAAAAGTCCCCCAGGGCCAGGAGAGAGGAAAGACCAAAAGACCGTGGCATGGGTCTGCTCTCAGCCTGGGGATATCACCTGCATCCTCTGCCCATCCTGGGGGACTCCACATTAAGGTCCCCCAAGCTCCAACTCACCACGGTGACAGCATCATTCAGGAGAGACTCGCCGAACACGATGATGAAGAGGGTCTCATTTACATGGACCTCTTCGAAGACAGCCAGCACCGCCACAGGGTCCACGGCTGAGATGAGGCTGCCGAAGAGCAGGAAATCCATCAGCCCAGCTTCGACGCCTGGATCTGCTGGGACAGAAGGACCAAGCTCAGGCATACCAGCTGCCTCAGAACCTCTCTCTCCATGCTGAAACAAGCCTGTCCCTCATCTGGTCCCAGTGACTCGGCTGCAGCATCCCAAGAACTGAGCCCAGGAGTGCTCCCGGATCTCCAGAGCCCCCCAGCAAAAGTGGGGCTCAGCACATCCTTGCTGCCTGTGCAAAGGGAGAGCAGGGCTGGGACATCCCCCTTGGAACCCAGGTGCATTGCTGCCCCTCCAGCAGGTAGGCACCCAAGGAGGCTCCACCTCAGGACCAGGCATCAAGCGGCTCCTCAGGGCTCAGGAGAGCTCAAAACACAGCCCAGGGCCAAGGGGCTCCAGCTGAGGACAGGGAACACGGCAGCAAGCCAGTGAAGCTAGCCAAGGTCGGTGACAAAAATAGCAAAGACATGAGTCAGCCCAGCACCGAGCAGTGCCCATTTGTCCTGCGTGCTCAACGCTCCTGCCAGAACACCGTTCCCAGGAACACCGTTCCTGCTCCTGGGAATCCATGGCAGGGCCGGGCAATGGGCTCTGAACTTGGGGGTGCTTTGCACCTCCAATCCATCTTTTGGGGTTGAGCTGGGCAGCTCTGTCCACCCACCCATGAGGCCGGCTCGGTGCAGCCCCCAGAGGGCAGCGCCGGTGGTGAAGGAGTTCCAGAGCGTGCCCACCACCGCGTAGGTGAGGATGGCACCGATGTTGTCGAAGAACAGCCGGCTGGGCATGAAGTAGCCCGAGTCGAGGACAATGGGGGGCAGAAGGAAGAGGAAGAACATGTTGGGCTCCAGCTGGTACTCGGCTTTCTTCGCCACGGCCAACACGATGCCCCCCAGGCCCAGCCCCAGCAGGATGAGGAGGCAGCTCTCCGGGACGATGGACGTCACCTTCCTTGACAGGTGGAAAACTAGAAAGAAAGAATGAGAGCATCAGCCCAGTAGGCATATGGACAGAGCATCCCAGATCCACAAGCTCCACAGGAGGGTTGGCTGATGCACGACGGCTCCCGGGAAGGACCAGGAAGCACCGAAGGCTGCTTCATGGCCACGAGTGAGCAGAAGACCTTCCATCCAGCTCCCAGGTCAGGATTTCAGGTCTCCTTTGGGATCTCCCTCTCCTCCCCAGCCACCGCCTAATAAGCTGAGCAGCAGAGGCGCTTTGCTTTTCGGCACCTAAAGGATAAAAGCAGCCAGCGAGCACATCCACAGCATCACAAGCCAGCGCTGCCATTCCCCGGGATGCATCACCCCGCTCAGAGAGGAGGATGCTCAGCCCTGGTGACGGGGGTGACCTTGTTTGCAGCCGTCTGAGCAAGCAGACGGAGCAGCAATGCAAACCACTGCAGCAGCAGGCAGGCAGGCAGGCAGCTGGTCTCCGTGCCAGAGCACAACCTTCCTCAGCACCAGCTCACCTACCAGCATGCAAAAAAAACCACCAACAGGCGAGGGGCTGCTGCAGGCTTAGAGATCACAGAATCATCAGTTTCTTCCATGCAAGGCTTGGCCCAAATCTTGAAACTGCCATGAAGCAGGAGATATAGACATATATTTTTAAAACAAGCAGAGTGTGCCCCAGTATTCATCCATCAGCAACGTGGCAG